CCGCGCCGAAATCAGTCGTTCACGGTCGGGCAGCGGTTCCGGCACGGGGGGATCGTACGGGTTCTACCGCACCAACACCAAGGCGAAGCCTATCACTCGCGGGGCTGTCGGACTCAGCAACTTGGGCAACACGTGCTTCATGAACAGGTGAGACTTCGTTTGTAACCCCTCTTGTTGCGGGGTACAGTGTTGCTCCACCGAATGTTGGGGGGGGGGGCAGCAGTATTGCTCCACCGAATGCAGGCCCACACGGGAACAACGATTAGTTTTTGGCTTCCTCGCCGGGGGAGGACATCGACACGATTCTTTTTGTCAACCTTTCTTCAATCTACTTGTTGTGTTTTCTACCTTTGGACAGACTGTCACATATAATGCTTTTCCAAATCCGCAGATACATTGTAGAGTCCACGATAAAAATATGGTTTCACATGCCAGCAATTAGTTCGTCGTGTATTTTTTTATTTGTGCAGTTTTTCCCTGTAAATCCAACGCATGTTGGTCTCTGCCCACACATTGTGAGTCCAGGCGAAAAAATGTTTATCTTGAAGTAGCTGGTAGCATTTAGTCAACTTGCATTTCGGATATTAGTTGTTGTGTTTTGGAGGACATATCATGATTTCGTTTTTTTTCGTCTTGTGGCGCGGCCCTGCGCCTGCTCATCGTCCCGCCGCCCTCGCCCCGTCCAGCATGCTGCAGTGTCTCCTCGCCACGGAGTCGCTGTCGACGTACTTCCGCAACCAGCACTGGAAGCGGGAGGTTAACGAGGACAACCCCCTCGGCATGGGCGGCAAGATGGCGGCGGCGTACGCGGGCCTCAACGATGATGTGAGAGGGAGGGAGATGCTGTTTTTGGCGTGACTTCACAACGATGCGTTGAGAGAGACGGGGGGAGATGCTATAGAAGTGACTTGATGGTGTTGGAGGGAGGGAAATCCTTTGTTTTGAAGACTTGGCGATGTGAGAGAGAGGGAGGGAGACGCTATTTTTGGGAGTGACTTGAAGATGACGTGTGTGAGAGGGGACGGGGAGCAATAGAAGCGACTTGAGAGAGGGAAGGAGATGATATCGTAGTGGCTATACGAGAGAGAGGGGGAGGGAGAAGCATTACAATAAGGGCGCACAAGATCAAATTTTCCCGACACCTAACCCCCCTACAGAGGCGCTGAGGAGGGGGGGGAGTGTACTCATAGTCGTGCATGCCGTAGTCGTTAGACCATTGACCTCGCATCCCTACAAAGCCGGGACGGAGCACGCCGGGTTCTCACCGGACCAGGCTC